GAGAGAGAGAGAGAGAGAGAGAGAGATGCTTCACTCTCCTGATACAAAATATATACCCCATAGCCCCATAGCCATACCCCCACATGAACCATTTCCTCCTGGCACATCCCACCTGCTCCCAGTCACCACAGAGTTAATTCTATCATGGATTAGTTCGCCTGTCAGGTTCAGGCTGTAACCCAATCATTTTACCTCAAACCTCACATTGTCTCACACACACGCTTTGGGGGACACCTCACATCCAAAGCATAATATGAGTTCAGTCTGATTTTTTAGTTATTTGTGACTCTGGCCATATTCATTCATATCTCAGGGCCTATCATAAATGTCCCTTTACAGTAGATCCTTTCTATGATACTTGCAGTAAATAATGTTTAATAAACTACTTCATGGGGCATGTAAATTTCATACCTAGTGTTAATTATCCATTGAAGAAAGATGCAATATTGATTGGTCATCACTGAATAAAGGGAGAGAAGAACATTATGTCAGCCTCACCAAGAATCTCAATCATGCTGCTTTGTGTCATGTAAAAGAAATTTTCCATGTAAGACAGAAGAGAATAAAGAAGAATGAGTACAAATGATCACCTAAGAGGAAAAAAAATTAAAAAATATTCTTGTGGTACTTCGGCAGGCAGAAGAAAATTATGTAGAAAAAACATTTATTTCTAATAGTTATTCAATAAATAAAAGCAATCAAAGGAAAAGACTCCTAAATACAATTTCAATATGTATGTGAATGATTACTTCTATGTTGTTCTCTCTTCCAGTTTTCCACATGTCTATCTGCATGGTAGAACCACGTTTCCATCACTATTATTTTATTCCATGTATTAAATGATACTTTCATATAAAAAGTGTAGATATGTTTATTAAAAACCCATATCAGTCTTCTTGAATTTTAGTTTGGTTTAGTCATGTTTTTTTCCAATAACAATCATTATTTGCAAATTTATTTTGCATAAATTGTCATTATTCCTATAAAAATTGTAAAAATTACTTGTTTTATATTGATATTTTGCTATGTCCTGGCTTAATCACAATGAAGCTAAGGATCAATGGATTTAAGTAACATATTCAAGCACACATAGCAAATGTCCGGTGAAGTTTGGACCCAGACTTCTGAAATCCTAAATATAACACTCAGTATAACATGCTGCCAGTTCTGTTTTCTGTGAACAAACTTGTAATAGAGAAAGACTAAGGTTAGGAAGAAAGGAGGTAGGAGAGGTCAACAGTATGCCAAAATGGATACAATGGAGAAAGGATAGTCTCTTT